TAGCCACCTAATGAAAAGGAAGGACTCCCTGGAGAAGAGCCTCATGCTGGGAACGATGGAGGGTAAAAGAAGAAGGGGACAGCAAAGAATGAGGTGGCTGGATGGAGTCACTGAAGCAGTCGGCGTGAGCTTAAAGGGACTCCAGAGGATGGTAGAGGACAGGAAGACCTGGAGGAACATTGTCCATGGGGTCACGATGACATGACTTCGCAACTAACAACAAGTGGAATAACATGAAATGGCATTCTACTCAGAGTGCTGTAATACCATACAACTTTTAACATGTCAATGCCAATATCGGTCATTAGGAACATTGCACTATTTGGATATAACATAGCATTACATTATGAAAATGCCAGTAATAAGAAATAACCAAAGTACCTACGGCCATTATCGTCTTCCTAAAATGGCAATTATGGGAAAGAAATTTTTCATTAATTTAAATTTATATTTATTCATTCATCCATTTTTATTAGTGGTTTGGGGTTACTTAGATGTCATATTTTAAACAAATGTCCTCTTAAGACTTCTATTGTATTTGTGTTCAACTAGCTATCACAGCTTTCTGTCTATTTCACATATAAAGGACAGGGATAAGCAAATGTGGTATAACAGAGCAGCCAAAAATGGAAGTGGAGTGAAATGTGTCATCAGCTTAGAGTCTTACATTGCCCATAAATGATCCAAGCCTAACCTCTCTTGCTTCCGCTGATCCAATGCCAATTTAGTAATGAACTTTAGTTGGCTAGATTCTTGTTTATAGGCTTGAATAAATCTTCTCTGCTGCAACTTAAGAAGGGGTCCTGATCCTTTGCATCTGACAAATGGGCATGATATAAGCATTGGGGAGCCAGATGTTATTTTTGCCCTGCTTCATGTATGTTCAGCCAGAGTTCCCATGCAGAACTTGCTCTTATATTTAATTCCAGACAGACCTGGTTATCCTAAGACTGCCAATTAATTTAATCTACATCCTTTCTACTTAAAACTCCCAGTTTTTCCAGGAAGCCCTGCAGTTCTTGTTTCAACCACAGCTCCATGAATAAACATCATCATGCTCATTAAATTAATCCAAGCTTGCTAAATTATTCCAAGAAAACAGACTTCTTCAGTGCCAGGACGTACAAAGGCCAATCCCAAATTGCTGTCATTCCTAAAAAGGTTGGGTGAGGCCCCTACAGTCTTTACAAAGGTAGCCACCTAATGCTCATTTTTAATACCATAAAAGAGGAAATACATGAGGCATAATCTTAGTTGCTCTATTTAATCTCTGTAATTACTTGATATATTTTAATTAAACTTTATTTAATATAGCTTTTTTTCCCCTGCCCTCTTCGTGATTCCCTCTCTTCCAAACTTTTTTGAAGTTCAACCCTAAGGCCAAGTGAAGAAAGCCACGAAATGTGCCTCCTTGACTTAAGGAGAAGGGTAACTTTTATTTCTTCCTACCTAAAACCGCTTTTTTCATTAGGAGGAACCATAGGGAGCATCATGAAAGTGAAGATGGTGGCCACAACCACAAGAACAAATTACTACCTCCCTGTGCAACATGTGATGTAAACAAAATGGGAGGACTTCCAGTGAGTACTTGAAGCGGCCATTTTGTCTTTTTCCAACCTGCCCCTGTGGACATCTTTGCTTCCCTTATAGCAGTGTTTCTTCATCTTGGCAACTTTAAGGTGGGTGGACTTCAACTTCCAGGATTCCTCAGCTGGCATATTGGCTGGGGAACTCTGGGAGATGAAGTCCACCCATCTTACAGTTGTCAAGATTGAGAAATACAGTAATATAGGAATCTTCTAGAGGTCACACAACATATCCAGAGTGATTATGGGACTGAAGAAGATGGTAGACTAACTTCAAAACTGTCTATTGTCACTTGTTCTCTTTTTTTGAGACTTCCTTTCCTTTTTTGACATCTCTCTATTTTAACTTCTTTCTTGTAGTTTCATTTCTTTTTTTTTCCTGTCAACCACTGTCTCTGGGAAACCAGAGCAACTCCGTGTGAATAGGACAAAATAGTTTCTTTATTGTTGATCACCTATTTACAAGAATCTCACCGGACTGACTGCAATCTCTTGGGAAATGGAAGATAAAGGCTTCAAAAGATTCTTCCTCCTATGGAATGACTCCAAACTAGACCACCTTTTTACTCCTCCCTCTATACAAGCAGGTGTGTATATCACAATAAGAAAAAATGATCTAATATATAAACTATGAAAAAAATATCTAGATAGAATCATAGACAAAAGGCTGTGAATTCACTAGATTAAAATCTATGTAAAAACTAAAGGTGGATTATCTATCTATATACAGAATATAAAAGCCAAATACCACTTACTCATCTCGAAACCTCCAGAACCGTAAAGCCTACAAATTTGCAATTTGGCACATACGTTCCTCTTGGCTTCTAGGTGCTTGCTAAGAAAGGATTTTTCAAAATGACCATCAGATCATTAGTATTTCTTATATGGTAATTAACATGCTCTGTTGCTAAGGAGTTCTATTCCCCCTCCCCACCTGAAAAGAACTCTGTTCCAGCTGCCAGTTGCCTCACATTCCGTTACCTCAGTTCAAACTAGCAGACGTTCCACTCCTTCACTCAGGAGTGACATGGGGCTCCTTACAGTACTAAATGTCGGTACCTCACCAAAATGTCTATGCCTTCCTTCCACCTATGGAATTGCTTCCGGACTCAAGGCGGCGGAAGCGATATTCTCTTATGTGTTTCAATCACTGACCACCATTGATCCAACGGATTGTGAATTGAATTTCTTCT